AATCGGCGCATAGCGACAATCGTTTTATGAACACCGAATGACTGCACCCGGGACGTACGATACAGGTCGTTACTAAGTAGCTTATGGCCATCGCAGTGTACACAGCGGTATGTACACATGGTGGAGTACTTGGATGCCAGCCATGCTACGTCTTGAATATCTTCAAAACAGTGCGAACGCCGTTTGGAAAGCCGCATGTTTGACTGTGAGCAACAGAACTTAGTTGTGGATGTTTGTGAGTAGGGCAAAGTTTGTAGAAAGTAGAAGTCACGATTGAAATTCACGCACAACAATGTGCCTCGACGGGGAATCGAACCTCGGTCCACGAATTTCCGGTCCGCTGCTCTACCACTGATCTCAGTGGTAGTTGATGGTAGTTGATTTGGCATTGCGGTAATTGTCACGCCAACGAGGTTGTAAGCGGCGAATAGGTGGTATTGCCACCTGTCAATGTTTAAGGTTGCGCACAAATCTTCCCTCGGGCAACAGATAATCGGACCGTTGCGGGACACGGAGATACTAAAGTGGACACCCCATCGTATTCACACGCTGTTCGATCAGCTATGCAAACCAGACCGTACATATAGACGGCAACACCTTAGTACACACTATTCCACTGTACCCCTTGTTTATTTATCATTCTACCCTGTAACCGTACTGATAGCAGTTACTTCAGTATTCCCATATCGGTTTCGTTCAAATATTAATGCCCAAGTTTCAAGGTTGTCATATGTTCATGTCTAAATCTTGAAATAAACACCAACAGCTCGTATCGGGTACTTATTCTCATGCTTGCGAAAGTGGCTAACAGCCCGACCAAAAGAAACACATACACGTTTCAGTACTATTGTTCATGAGGTTTAATGTGTCTCTATCCAGTTTGTGGCAGTTCATACTTAAGTTTGGACAAACGCATGTGCATTGGACACGGATGACGTCAATCCATGTATATATGTATACCGAATGAATTCGACGAGGGTACTCATGCCGTTTGTGTACGGCCACTGGGGCAAACCGAAAATAACATTACCAGGAAGTGAAGGAGGTGAGTATATGACGAATTAGTGTTGATTTCAGGTGTTGCGAATCAAAGGCACATTTGATCAGTGCGATTTCCGTGGTCTGATCAAGAGGGTGGTTGCCCAAGTGCAGGAGAAGGCACTATTGCACGCGGAATAGACGCATGATGTGTACGCTCCCATTCGATTTGCGAATCCAGGCCAATAAGGCGGCATATGTGGTTCGTTTGCCTGCGTGATGAGTATTCTTGCATTTCAGGATTAGATGTTGTTTGAGCCCCCTGGTGTGGCTGCGCCTGATGTGAATGTTGACAAGGTACCTACCTGTCTGATACCCTCCACCTCGATTGCTGGCTCCAGGAGACAGTTGGTCGTCGCTGGAGGGGACGGAGTGCACCGTCCTCGTGACGGTGCTAGGCTCAAAGAGTGGTTCCATGCAACCTGTGTGGAACGGGCTACGGTCCAGCCACCGCCTCGTGTACGTCTGGTGTGTATGATTTCCCAATTAGACCGGAATGCTTCCGTTCTGCTTGTTGAAGGAGTATGGGCCGGCTCCGTTGATGAAACGTGGCTCCCATTCACATACCTCCCGGTTTTATTCCTTCGAGTTTACTCTGGATATGGGGTGTGTGGGTGGTGCAGCGTAAGCCACCTATGGTCCCTTTGCAGGTGCAGGCGACCTGTGGCTGCCCCCGTGGAGGCCACAGTGATAGGCAAATCCGGATACGGATGCCGCCATTCCATATATCATCACAACAAGTGCGGTGTGGCATGCTTTTCTCATCTCTCACTTCACGAAGTCCTGTTGGACGACCAGTCATGTAGCCTAGAGTATGCGACTGACGTCGCTTCTTGGCTGCTATGCAATCGCTGCTGAATGTACTGTATATACTGACGCATAGCGCTGTACGCTTCAGCATTTGCTTTGCAAATACTAAATGATAAGCTTTGTTATGATTGGGCCGGTTCACCGCCGCCTCTTGGTGTCACCGATTAACCGCTCACAATTCTCGATCAGTTCCCTCAATTAGGTACCAGCACGATCTCTGTTGGTAGCATCATTGAAGAAATTACTGCACACATTTATACTGCTCGTATTGCTTTCCAGACCTCCATCACTTATAGGAAACGTAGGATGTAAGTTTGTATCTGCAGTGTGGCCTGTGTTATTGTGTCGTACTGTGGACAACACCAACACTTTGTTCAGATCTGACAGGATAGCCGAATAAATGAGGATGAACTTGATCATCTGGTGCTTGGCATCAGGCCCTCTGATGCATCATTGAATTCGGATCAACGGTAGTTCGGTCGTACGCTCCGTATGCTAGCTAGTTGTTTGTCTCAGAGAGTGGTGTTTTCCGACACCACACCTAGTTGGTTGAAACCCCGACGTGGTCAATCAATGGCATCACATTGAACATAAAGATACTTTTCGAAAGACTTAGTCGGGTTAATGTTTATCATCTGTCTGGAGGAGGTCATCGGGACCAGTCATATTAGGGGTTGTTTACTCTTTTGAATAATTTTCGCTCATGACGTCTGTGTGCTCCCTCATTTCTCGCCTTTGACTTCTCCATCTGACCACTTTACGTTTTGGTCGTTCTTGTTTTTATTATCCGTTAGCCATGTAAGCCACAAACACACACACACACACACAACACTTTGATGCACGGACCTTGCTTGATAAGCTTAACAGAATCGACACCCGCTCACTCTACACCGTTGTTCATGCACTCTGTGTGACACTGTGAACGGAATTAGAGTGGGTTTTGGCTAGGCTACCTCGCCCTAATTGTCTAATGGTTTCGACAATCATGCAACCATCTGGATGTCCGAATACTTGGTGCGGTGGCCACTATCTCGTTGTTATCTTCTATGTAGCGTTCACGAATGATCTGTTCAGTACAGTGCTTGACACTTTTTTCGGGTCGGATGGCTGCAGTTTTGCTTTGTTCAGAAATATGGCACCTTAAATGACGAATTATTCTTTGCTCCACTAGGCTATTGTCCGGATTCCATCCCACCTGCACTATTTAATAACGGAGGTTAGGTTCTCTTCAAAACACTGACCCCCCTATTCGAACATGTATGGAACGAAAAGAGTGTCCCAACTAATTGGAGTGAATCAATTCTAGTGGCAATATACAAAGACAGCAGTCTCACAGGCATATTAGCCTAACGCCGGTTGTGACGAAATTATTTGCCTCAATTCTCGTTCTTCGCCTCACTGCGGAACGGGAATCCCGGATTAAGGAACAGCAGACAGGTTTCCGCCTTAGACTTGGCTGTATAGACCACATATTCACTCTGCGGTATATGCTAGAGCAGCGCCACACATACCGCAGGCCGACATTAGATATGTTGCTCGACTTCAAAAGTGCGTTCGATTCAGTCGATCGGTGCATTTTACTCGAAGTACTTACGCGGAAAGGTGTTCCCACGAATTACGTGAACATCTTACCTGCTCTATACTCGAACACTACAGGCCGCATCAGGGTCTACGGTGACCTGTCGGATAACCTTCCGACAACAAGTGACCTTCGTCAGGTTCGTCCTGTTTCCCGGTTTTTGTTCAATTTTGTCGTGGACTTTACCATAGAGTGTTCCGTTACGGACTCTCACGATGTAGGCGTTGTGATGCTGCCTGGTGAAAGATTAGCTAACTTTGATTATGCGGACGATATCGTCTTGCTTTTTAACGATGTTGCGGCGGCGCAAACAATCCCAAATAGCCTTCCTAGAATGGTCCCATTATTTGGTATGCGCTTCGCACCTTCGGAGTGCGGAATGTTGCTGCAGGACCACCAGCCACTTGTTGACCTCCTGACTCTTGATGGCGCGGAAATCGAGTTTGTTGATCGATTCACTTACCTTGACTGCTGCATCAGAAACCATGGACGCATAGAAACTGAAGTCAGTTCACGTTTTGTAAAAACGAGAACTGTCTCTGAATCTGCGGCATCTTTGGCGACAGAAGGGAGTTTCCCTCCCTCTGAAAGGCCGTGTTTACAATGCCGAATTGAGGGCCGTCCTGCTCCATGGAAGTGAGACTTGGCCCCTTCGGTCTGATGATCTGAAGCGCCTTCAAGTCTTTGATCATCGTTGTCTGCGGAGCATTGCTGGTGTCCGGTGGCACCAGCGTATCCTCGACGATAATGTGCGCAGACGAGTACCAGGGATTGATAACTAAGCTAGTTCCTTAGAACAACGGATAGCACTGAATAAGTTGCGTTGGCTTGGGCACGTACTTCGTATGCTTAGTCACCGCTTACCTAAAAGGGCCTTGCTTTGTTTGCCAGATATAGGGTGGCGCAAGACTCGAAGTGGACAGAAGTTGATTTTGCAGCGGGAAATGAAGTCACTGACGACCAAACTGGATGCGGTCGGTCTGTCTCGTCTTCCGACCTGACGTACACGTGACTCGTCTTGTGCTTGGCTCGATACTTGACAGGACATGGCTCGTTGTCGACACCAGTGGCGCGTCTTCTGCCGTATCCTAGTCGGATTGTCTGTTTACGGTTTGTTTGGTACTAAGTTATCTGCGGGGTGATGGCTGATTATGACGCGGGGCAGTGAAAACCGCAAGGAAGCTGTCTTTCCGATCTCGCCTTACCTTTGCACGATAGTCAGCTGTTTGTGACGGTATGTTGTTAGCACAAGGTGTAGGCGTCTTGACTCTGAATGTTCATTTAGGGCACAAAGGTTTTCAGGTTAGTCCCCCTTTGCTCTCTCTTATCTTTCTTTATTCCGCAGATCATCATAGTTGTATGGCAGCGGAGCATGAGTTCAAATGGCTGATCTACTGCTGTTGTTGATTGTTGACTGATGAGGCGATTGTCGGTTGTGTAGCACTGTCGAGTGTTTACATCTGCTTGGTGATGATTTCATTCCCACTCCTGTTTCCGACGGCTATCCTATACTCATCCGTTTTGTTTGCTCTCTATTGGTCCGGTTGCTTAGTTTCCCACATTCGCTTTTCAGCCGACAAAATCTTCAACTTCAACCTAACTCTCTGTTTGTTGCTACTGATGCGGCGGTTGGTGGCCAGATTTAGCCAGGGACATGCTGATACAATCGTCCCCGGAGCAGGAAGTTCAGATTCCGAAACTGGCAATGTGGTCTCAAACGGGTCACCTGAGCATCCTTACGACAGTCAACCGAAGGTCTCAGCACCGTTCCGTCTTTACAATCGGACTGGCAGTACCGTGTGGTTCAAGCTCCTTCCTGCAGATGATGCAGCTAACCTTCCCGAAATCGAAGGGTTAGTTTATTCTCACCGTTACTCCTCTACACTTTCATATCCGATTTGAGCCCGTTACACACGCCAGGCACCGGTTGTGTACTACGAATTGGTGTTTGGTTGTTGTTGGCAAAGCAGCGACAGCTGCACATATATTGTTGATGATGAATTTTCCGTTGTATTTTGGTGTCGCACCGCATCTCGTTTCGTTTCCCCTTCCCTTTTTACACAATTTCATTTTTTTATTTGCCATGCTTGTGCTATCCATTTCCATACTAAGCTTGTCCATTTGTCTTCCTTTTTCTCAATACAAGGAAATCGGGTGTAACTGGGTCGAGAAATCAATGGCATCGCCTTGATCCTCAGGCGGACACCGGGGACTTGCTGCATGTCACTGCATTGAACTCACAGTCCCACCCAGATTCTTTATCCGTGTACAGGAACACACCACCCAAGCTGCTCGTTCAAGTATCTGGCTGGAGGCCCACTTATCCCATTGCAGTGGATCGCTTGGGCATATACTTCCGGACACTGGAGCGAGATCCTACAGTCGATGTAAGTATTGTGTCTGTTCTCAATATCCCTTTTACACTAACTACCTTTCTCTGCGATCGGCCTTCTCCACTTTTGACTCATCGAATCACTAACCTTTTCTCTGTTTACTCTTCACACACCAGATCGCATTTGAGGACAAGCACTTCGTGACTGATGCTCAGTTACCATCGTTTACTCGTCTCATTATCGAGGTCTTACTTTCCGACTCTCCTGTCCAACACCTTGTTGTGCTACGCTCCGCGCTCACCATTACCAACGACCTCTCTGATGGCCACCAACTTCTTGTGGGTTTGCAGCATTCCTCCTCTACGTCGACCGCCCAGGGTGACATGACGTGGTCTTCTCAGCTGTGTGAACCGAGCGAACTGGTACAGCGTATACCCCTGGTTCTCATTCCATCCGGCCAGACATCTGCCCTCCCACTCACTTGGGCCGCTCTTCACTCCACCGGATTCGGTACACTCTGTTTTTGTCCCACATTGATTCCCACCACTCCGAACCACGGTGTCTCCTCTGTTGTTGGGAATTACGCCACCCGCCGTTACGCAACTTATGACTGGGCCGCAGTATGCCTGCCCAACGTGACCGACGTCGGCTCTGACAGCGGCAGCGGACGTGCATCTCTGACACCCACGTCTGCTCACACAGCTTCCAATTTCTCATTGGAGCTGGACACTACAAGCACCACCAGACATTTGGATTGGACTCGATTAAAACAACCAGGTGTGCATGTTATCACTATTAAATTACGAATGAATCCCCTACCGATTAGCTGTCTTCTTAAACCTGGTCCACATATTTTCCGTGCATATTGTGCGATATTCATGCATCTACCGAACTCATCATTCCAACTATTCCTCGTTTCACTATATTTTAGTGTCACAACTACGATCCAGGCCCTTTTTAGAATGGTAAACTTGAAACTATTATATTTTTTTCCTCATTATGATTGTGCTTTGATCGTTGCGCGTGGCGGTGAACTTGGAGATATTAGTCAAATATTTATCGTGCCTTTTTGGGTTCTCGCTCTTTTGAAAGCAATTTTGTTATCCTAGAGGATCGATGCATCTCTATACAGAATGTGTTGGGTCTACAACATCCACACGTGGATTTTCAGTGTAATGCTTTTGCGACATCTCTGTATATTCTGCTGATTATTAGAAGCGTTCTCATAACACAGTCATACACAACCATCTCCATATCTGTCCGCGATGTAGTCTCCTGCGCATATGGGACCTTGTTTCACCCCCCTTCCTGTCACCCATATCCTCATATTTTTTCACCCTCACCTTTAGGTGAAGTGATTGAAGCCAACCTTCTTTGTCGCAGCGGAACGGCAACCAGCCAGATTGGTTTAATCCATGCGACTTTGGATAATTCATCTGTATTGCCTTCTCTGGAGGGTGATCACGATGAAGGTTTGACCACCTCCTTACCACCTCTTCGCTGCACCAGCAATCCACCTCGGAATGGCAGTGGCGGCGTTTCTCCGCGCTATCATATGAGTCTAGTCATCGTCCGCGATCATTTCCCTCTGGATCCCCTGTGGGTCGGTGTACCCGGAGCTGAGCATCTCCCTCACCCAAAAAGCCTTCCTGGGCATCATATCACTGTATCTCCCATAATACGTATAACAAATTTGTTGCCTTGTGAACTTACCTATTTTTTTGCCGACACCTCCGTACGTGGATCTCTGGCCGCTGGTCATGACGCATGTGTGCATGAGGTTAGTTGGGTTAAGAGCAAACTAATCAGATCACCGCTTTCCTTGTACAGCAACTCATTGAGCGCCATATCTTTGCGTGTCGCGGTGTAGATAACGCCTTCTGCCTTCATTATTTCCGTTCTAATTCGCTAATCGCAAATATTGCTTTTTTTTCTGCTGCTGGGTGCTGATGATTTTTGCCCCTTGTTCAGATATAAAGACACCGATAAACTGGATAGGGTAATTTATTAAACCATTGTTATGACTTTGGAATCTGAACGGAGATCCGATCTTCATGTGTCCCGAATGCGAATTACAACCAATATTAACCTGGAGACTCCATTCAGCTGTGTATGGTGATGATATCTAGATGATCCGCTTTGTTATAGTCACTTCACTGCCTAATTGATACAACCCACTCATCAGTGAACCATATGTTCGTCTAACTAGTGCATGCTTTTCAATGCATTTTGACTCATGATGTTGCGTCGCTCAGATAGACCACGCCGCTTCCTTTTGTTAATCTACCAGCTACATCGCCTCTGTTAACGCATCCGCTGTGGCTAGACCCACGGTTTTTTTACAATCTACTCTCTTCCTCAGTTGCCACCGGCGGAGACACTTCGTTTCGGCGTGTATCTGGATGGGTTTCCCAAATGTGAGCCCCTCGATATCCCACCGAATACGTACGACCGCAAAGTCCTATTGAGACTTCAAGATCCTCTGGGCCGACCCTTAGAATTGCAGGTTAGTAGAAATCGCTCACATTCTGTTACTCTCCCGCTTTTCCTTCTAACTTCATGCTGATCATCTCCTCCGATTTCGCTACTACTACTCGCAGTTGCGTGTAATCTCACGTTCCGGTGCCGCCCGACACTTGACAGTGAGTGCTGTCATTTGGTTACTGAACGATTCTGGTCTGCCACTTGTGTTTGCTCAATCCTCTTCCTTCTTGGAATCATCCTCCAATGTGGCCGCCGGACAATACGGGGAACATGAACTGGCTCGTTCCGTTTGTCCTCTTCTCTTCTCATTCGCCAACAAACAAGATGGCTACTTGCTTCGTGTTCGAATTGGCCGAGGGTATGCTTTGTACTACATCGTGTGTGTTTTGATTGTCCCATTGTACAAATTCCACTGTAGCATGTCCCCGCTGTTGTTGTTTCACTCTCCTCCCTCCCCTCCCCTTAGCGCTCACTGTGATCCATCTGATCTCAATTCCGGTTCAATACGTCGGGAAAAGCGATCAGACTATTACCCCGTTTGGTCTCCACCCATTTCTTTAGATAAATCTGGTGTGGATATGCTGCAGCTGAGGGTATTGGACTCCTCAAAACGGTCAGTTGTTTTTTTACATATCTTTTGCAACTTGATACGCTTATGGCGCTTACGACCAACTACTTTGAACTTCATTCAAATGCAGATTACACATGATTAGACCTGGGCAATTAACGTATCTGTGTTTATGCCCTCATCACAGATGGAACTTGTTCTACCGTCAACACTTGTTTACTAGACCAAGTAGAAGGTTACTCGTGAAAACGTTCGGTATTTTTGTGAGCTCTCCTCTGTTCTAAGCTGCTTGTGATATGGCAGTCTTCATCATTGTCAGTAATTTGATCTGACGCCTCTTCACTTTGCAAGTATAACTACTAGGGAATGAGGAGTAATTGGAGTTGTATCCTAAGTACTCGTTCAGAGTCAAAACGCTTTCATCTTTCCAGCAATATATAGACACAAACAACCTGCTGTCGAACGGAGAAAGTGGCGTCGTCGACAGAACTTCCTTGCGGTTTGTACTGCCTTGCGTCATAATCAGTTTTACGCTTCACCTAACTCAGCATCAGATACTCTAAATAAGTAGCCAGACTGAGATACAGTACCAAAGCGCTATTCGCACCGGTTGCGTACCATACCCTCTAAAGTTTAAAATCAGTCTGGAAGGCGAGATTGTCTACTCATCAGTAAGTTCGTTTCCTGTCATCCAACACCCGTCAGACAAAACGGTGCCCTCTTGGAAAGGCAGCGATTGGGTATATGTAGCGTGTGCCCGAACCATCGTAACTTATTCATTTTATATCGTTGTTTTACGAAATTAGTGTGGTTATTTTCCAGCGATCGTGTACGCACATCGTTGTGGACAAGCTGGTTTCATCCAACACCAGTATTTCTCCGCGAGAGATGCTGACCAAGGACTTGAAGACGCTCCAAGTCCTCTGATCCAGTCCATCTCTCGAAACCCAGCCTCGACTCTATAGTGGGGAGCGCTTGTCACAGTGGACCTAGACACACGGCCTTTCAGACCCGGGGATTCCATCTCAGACACTGCATATATCGCCGGTGGCCGGAAGGAATACGCGTCTGCGTTGTAATCTGGAGGTCACAGGTTCGAATCCGCGTAGATACGGGCGATCTCGCAGTATACCTAGCCATTGCGAGACTATTGGTCTTGGCATGGCAGCGATGCATCGGTACAATGTCGGCGCACTGCTGCTCCTTTTCTCTTGGTGTTCCTAAACATTTTACTTTAAAGTTTCCAATTAGTGCGTGGACATAACGTATGATCTATATTTCTGTTTTCACGAACTCATACGCCATTTACTGATCCTCTAATCTTTTCAAGCCCGGCACTGGTGTACCATGTCGGCTTCGAAGTACGTCCTGGTCGGGGTCGACATGCCGTTACCACAATCGTCACTTTCAAACCACGTTACATCGTCGAGAACCGAAGCGGTGTCAGAATGGATCTTACTCAACGACGCTGTCTGCAGACTCGCACCGGCGACTCAGGTGCGCAAGACTTTTTGCTTGGTGGCCTTTACATCCGCCCCTTTTCTTTCGTTTATCGTTATCACATGTTCTAGGAAATCAGCTCACATCTTGCTACGCTCTTCACTGTACTGCTCCCCTCACTTCTCATCTTTTTTTCACTTAAGTGCAATGCGACCAGATATATATGATCCGACCACCACCGACGTGTGGCGCCTCTATTAAGCATTCGAAAGTGCTTATTGGCAATTCAAACATCAGTTGATCTTTCCTTAAACGGACTTCACCGCAGCCATCTCATTCAACAGTCACCTATGTGATTACTTAACTGGTCATATCCTTGTTCCTCTTTCTCTGTCGTGCATTGGGTTTGCTTCCGCACCAACCAAGCAATCGCGTTACATCGATACAACCTAGCACTCGTGCGTTGCTTTCTTGATCTCAACATAAGAACATGTAGATAGATGTCCTATTATTTCAGCTTATCCACATAACCAAATATATCTGTTGTGAGCCATATTCCGTCTCATTTCATGATGAATGAAGCCACACTGGCGAGACCACATTCATAGCTTCAAGCTCCATCTGTGGTCGATTGCTACTGTACCTCGCTGGCCACCTACGGTTTCGTGTAGTACACCGTCTTCCCCCTCATGTAAGGAACAATTTATTATAAACTCCATTCCCACTATCCGAACTGATGGATGGCATTTGAGAAGTGTATATTGACACACTGTATACAACTCATCCACAAATGGTGTTAATCTTCATCTCACTTTTATTCTCTCCTCAGACGTAGTCCCTATACCTTGGTGGCAAACGTACGGTACATATCATTTTAAAGTCATCGATCGTTTCACTAATGTCACACATTTCATGCTACACGCAAGTATTGCGCTTTTTTGTGTCCGTTACTCTGTCGTAAGATTACCTGGTTCACTGGCCCCAGCTCTTATCGACGTTGAAAACCTAACCTTAACTGTGCACCACTCCTATCTACCCGACAGCCATTGTCACGCTGGATCATGGATGCTCTCAGGCGTTCCACTGGCCTCGTGATGACCTCGACCGCTTGCTGTGTCTTCGTGTCGATATGGCATCTGAAGCTGAGGCTCTTGCGGATCAACACAAATCTCTTTGGTCCGGTGGGTTCCAAATCGACCGACCGCACGCGTTCACCTTGATGCTAAAGTACGAGTTTGTTTTTCTCATGGGCGCTTGATTTTCAGCTTGTTTCAATCCCATTGCGTATTATGTCCTCAACAAAGTGAGTCTTAGTTAGTAATCTAGCGAGCACAACACTTACCTTTCCCATCCGGCGTTTGCTTCTCTCCAAGCTTCAAGACCAGTGAACCAGTTGCATTGTAGTGTTGCATCTAGTTTTTTTTGGATTTGTGCAATTTGTTTCTAGCATTTCGTGTGGAAACGCGCGAATTTATCACAGTCTTTCAGTCAGTTTTGAAGATGCGTATACCTAATTCCATCATTGATTTTCTTGGTTAAAACGTGAACACAGTGAAGCAGTTGGTCCGATCGGCTTCTAACAGATATACATAAATTTTTTGGTTCATTTGCCACCCAGCGAGACGGTGATATTACATATCTTTCTTGCTTAAGCGCGTTTTCTTATTCCATAGTGTTTAGTCCATTATGCTCGTGGTCAATAATGCGCCGAGCTGTCTAACTGTTTGAACAGTCACTTGCTGAGACCAACTTTTTTCTTCACTTAAATTCCGCAAGATGTCTTTGTACGGAACATACGTACTGTACTGCGATACCGATTTATTCTCAGTGCTGAAGCAGCTACTTGTGATCTAGCAACCGTGCATGCACTGCTATTTGGATCCCCAACTTGTCAGAGCCGAACATCTATTCCCTTACGGTTCCAGTCACGCGGAGTTCAATCGCTTCTAGTTCGACTGAATCACGACATTCTCTTTGTCCAGTTACAATTTGCTCCACCAATCAAACTGCGTATTATGGCTCATCTCACGCACTTTCATAGCTCACTTGTATTGCAAACTCACTTCCAACTCTCGCGATCCCTCCCACGTCTTCTTCCTGTCCAGTTTTCCAAGCATCAATGATTTGAAGGGGAGCCCGGGGCAGCGTTATACACCAAGCACATCGATAATCGCAGATCGTTTGCTTGTTCGTGTGGTGGTCGTTTTGCGTGAAGCCACATTCCATGTGCTCATTCAAGATGCCAACGCTTTGCCTCCTCCGTTCCGTTTGGAAAACATGAGCCCCGTGGCATTGTTTTATCAACAAATCACTTCCACCCTAATCTCTCCACTTGGGCTCTCTCATGCGGTTGTTCCCAACGTCGGGCCACCACTCACTCATCGGTCTTCTCAGTCTAGTCAATCTATACTCGATGCTTCCTTGTCTGAACACTTTCGCGACTCCGTTGACTCTACAAAACGCGCTACATCACGCGAATGTACGCAGAACGTTTGGTCCGGGGGAGCTGTTCTCTCATATTTGAGTCCACAAACCTCGGTTCCTTACGCCCTAGAGGAACCACTCTATTCCCCTTCGATTATGCTACGCGTGCAGGTTAGAGATTCATCTACTTGTTTACCCTCATATCATTTAGTCTGCTATTGTGCCGCTACATTCACCAATCCCTTCTTTTTCTACATTTACCTTCAGGGTGGCACTAGCGCCTCTTATAACCTGGAACAAGCGGGCTCGATGGACCCTCTAATGTACGACAACTTTGTTTACCTTACAGTGATTGGTCCCCTGACCGATGGGAATACTTCATCTTGTAGATCCGACAGTTTCTCGGGTGACATCGTGTTTGACGTCATGCCAAGTTCCAATCGCGTGGTATATTCCTCAAGAGTGAGTTTAATCGGAAATAACGTTTTCTTTTCCGCATCTTTAAACGTCTGATTCACTTTTCGCCTCCCCACTCCTCTTATTAGATCCCTGGTCGTCGTTCTCAACTTTGGTGGCTTTCGGATTCTGGCTTCGTTTGCCATGAAGGCAGTTCCTCTCCATTGGAGCCGGGAGAGCGCGCAGGCCGGAAACGCCAATCTGGTCGCCAGTTCGTATTAGACCTTGATGTGACCGCTCCCTCAGACGGTCGTAGTGGACACGCCTTCGCCATGGACCCTGATACCGAAAGACAATTCGAAGTGGCCCAACTAACTGTTGCGCCACTAAATAAACGACGAAAGAAATTCCAAACTTGGCGCATTGATCAGGTAAATGAGTGGCTGCAATATCTGCACTTGCCTTGCCAGCCACGGTTCTTCCATCCTACTGTGTGTGTGCGTATCTCTTCGTTTCACCCTCAGCATGGCCTTCTCGTCAACGACGCCCTCTTCTGCGTTCAAGTCTATCGGGAACAGTCCTCTGCCAACGCTGTGATCGACTATGTGGGCACTCCCATATTGGTAGCCCGGCCTCGGGTGTCCGCCACACGCCTTATCAGTCCCATGATCACACCGGCAATCATATTCCCTCTTTGGTTGCGGCCTGGATCCGGCAAACTACGCGTATATCTCTATCTGGACGGGGTTACTCGTGTACTGCGCATCGAGGATGAGGCTGATTCGTTTGCGCCATCAGTACGCGCGAACGTGAGTAGCAGTGTCCTTTCTCACACGAACTCAGGCAAAGTAGTTCCATCGTCCAGATGGAGTACCCTGAGTCACGCAGGCTGCCAACCCTCACTGGTATGCGCTCTCTGTTATATATTGCGTGTGCCACGTTACAGTCTGCTTCGCTTTTCTAAGTTGTATTGGTTCTGTTACCGATGTGTTGCTCACTGAAGCCCGTACATTCTATCCCATGTCTAGCCTGATTTGGCGCATCGCACACTTTCATCTTCAGTTGTTGAGTGGTTCACCGCGCTGAACAACAAATCCCAACTACCAACATTTCTAGAGTTGATATTCCCCACCCGAAAGCGTCTCTCGCGCATTCCGTCAGCTTATTTTAATGTTCCCTGTTTCAGCTAGACTGCCTCTAATAATGCGCGGTTTTAGATAATATACGGCAACTGGCCGCATTCATCATCCTCAACAACGGCAACACCGCACCTGCTATATCTACTGGCGCTTCGCTGTCGCACAGTTGTGTGTCAGAGACAGTGATACTACTAGGGAAGAGAGGATCCAGTGTGGAACTTGTGTGCTGTTAACACTCGTATAACTGTGTTCCTTGCACCCTGTCATCATATTACGATCAGGAACCGCTGGATCCATTGTGGCAGTAGAATGACGTCAGTTATAGTGATCTATTTCGACTTCCGATGTCATTATTCTCAGATGTAAAAAAGATCACTCTTCTGGCTCTGTGCCTTGGTTTATTTGATTGTCTGAGCTCCCAAGCATACTTTCCTCAGGTTCGGTGCTGTGAACCTAATTTTGTTGTATACGCTTCTCACGAATTGGACATCTCTTGCAGTCCAGCACTCATCAAAGGCAACATTACTAGTTCTATCTTCGAGGCGGTAGCCAGAGTGATGAGATGGCACACCGCTCGACTTTGCCATCTTGGTTTATCTGCTGTTAAGGTCGCTTATTTGTTAGAACGTTAAGCGGGCCGCCGATCATTCTATCGGCAATGTCGGCTCTTTCCTTTAACTACCAAATACACCTCTTTTAAGTACTCTCAACAAAATGACATTCAATGCATCAGTTAGCCCTTTAGTCTCTCTTACGCTGTCATCGGCCAATCGTCCTGGAACTCAACTGCTTCGTGTCCCTAATCATTAAACATACAGAATTGCCATACTTTTTGGGCGAACGCCGTTGGATATGTTTCAAAATGCTATCCGTCTAAACTCAGTATTCTTCACTCTACCCTCTCATTAGACGTAGTCGACGCCTCGTAGACACTTGCGGCCAACCATATTTCGTAGCACCGGTCGCACGGCAGCACTGTGCACCATTGCTTGGCACTCTAGCGTGCCGTCATCTCTGTGCTGATTGCAGTTTCAAAGTGCCATTTGTGCTCATCTCTCCGGTGTTGAAACCATGAAAAGTAGTTCAGATCAGTGGAATGCTCTTGTGGCAATCCGTTATGAGCTAACTCAGTCCGTAGCTCTCAAGTATGAATCACATGCCAAGAGAAACCTTGTATTCTGTGTAACACCACGTGGTAGGTCTTGGAACAGTGTCCACATTATAAGAAATGTGTTTTGCGCATACTTTAACTGGTAGCCTTTTGCCTGGCAGAAGGTGGGCTTAGACTGAATGGGTTGGAATAAAACCATTTCGCACTTGAACTGCCCTCTTCGTTTCAGGTGCTTCGTTACCAATAGCACAGCACAAGAATGAATTTATCTAGTCAGTTTCTGTCGATATTCACAGTACTTATCCGATTTGGTCTCCGAACCGAAAGCAGCCTTCCTATTGTGCGCACTGTTTGAGCGTCAGCTAATTGCATTGCCGTCTTTTGCGGGCAGCTCAAATAGGGTTGGGAACTTTCATCGCAACTTCATTCGCTGCGGAATCCCCTAGTTTTTCATCACTTCAATCCTTTCGAGTCCACGAATCTCGATACAAACTTAGTAGCATTCTCCGTCTCAACGAGATGAAGCCTTAATTTGATGCGACAAATTGCATATTTTGTTTGATCAGTCTCCTCGGACCCATTAAACGCCATTCCTACCAGATTTGCCAAAAGTTAGAGCAAACGAACTCAGTCTCCCGACCCTACAACTTGATGGGTTAGAGCTGGGATGGCACCAGTTTATGTAGACCTTGTGCTTAGTACATCCGCTTTGAATTCAGACGTCTTATCCAAGGTTTTCAGTTTGGAACCCTAATTGTTTTCGCACCTAGGTTTGCTGGCGGTGGCGGTGCCGCGACCCACACACAACTAGGAATTTCTTGTCAAATTTTGTCCTCATTTTGCATAGCTTATGCGTGGCTTCAAAAGTTTCATTTTCTCTGCATTTTGCAGCAGGATACAATATCAAGAGCATACTACAGCTAATACTTCCGCTTTTTCTCCCTCACCCATCTCACCTTTGCTTTTTAATCCTGTGCTTAATTAAAGGTCGCTGCAGTATTACTGGAGTTCTGTCATCTACAGCTACTTCTCACATTGCACATTGGATTCCTATAATCGGCAGCCCATTTTCAAGCCATGTTGTCCTGTTTCTTTGGCAACATTTGACATTCGTACCCGGGAACAGCCGGGTCACTGGGCTGCATTTGTACGCACCTTGCAGATCCTGTATGTTGACGTGCAGTCTTTGTGATGCTGCCTGGTGAAAGATTAGTGGATCTTGATTATGCGGACGCTATCGTCTTGCTGTTTAACGATGTTGGAGCGACACATTCACTGTTATTATTATACACGTTGGCTAGGGATGCAAAACGTCTCAACTATTGTGCCGCAATCCATACAAGAGCAAGCGAAAAATGTAACAGTTGCATGCCAGCTGAGCTATCGGTAATGGATGGGTATCGTCCCGGTAAGTTACCAGCCGGCTAATATGCAGCAAAAAACTTTATTAGGCAAAATTATGTAAAGCTAAGTAGTGTGGTCCTCGTTCGAGGGGCGCCTAACAAGGATGAGGAAGGACAATGAAACTCACCACGCGAAACCCCATTGAGCTTGACTCCTAGCCATGTCAGAATGTGTATCCAGCCAAACGTGTTCATCGTCTTTCGGTCCACACCGAGGGAGCCGAAACGCTCCAACCGAGGCCAGCTTCAAAGTGAGGGCCTTCATTTCTCTCGACCAAGTCATCGCTTGGCCGCCTCTCCTCTTCTTCCATCCACACCTCCGGTGCGCAAATAACGCACGTCGCGGGAGTCGGTGGGCTTACATGCGTAACATGTGGCCGACCCATAAGAGGCTGGTGCGTGAAATATCGGTGCTGAGCGGTTCATTTCCTTTTCCTTTGCTGTAAACAAGGCGTCGAACACGCTCGCTGCTCACTTGGTGTTTCCACCAGATGTGAGCCAAATTGCGAAGGCACCGATGGTCGAACGTAACTAGCCTCTTCATGTCGACTGCTCTAAGTGCCGTGTTTCACAACCGTACAGTAGTGTCGAACGTACCGCTGCATTGTACACTCTACCCTACAGGGAGTGATGTCGCCCCGGCGTCATAGGTGGCGAAAGTTAGCAAAAGCGCCTCGAGCTTTTGCTATACGGTTCATGATCTCGTCTTCGATCCCAAGGGCGCTGATACAACTTCCCAGGTAGTTGAACTTTTGAACGACTTCTAGCTGATCTCCACCAAAGTTCAGCGAAGAAGTCGGTCCAGACCAATCTTGGAGGAATGCTTTGCACTTCGATGGTGCACAGTGAAGCTCGAAGCGGCCGACAGCTAGTGCTAATGTGTTCAGTGCCGCTTGACACGTTTGTGAGCTGTCACAGATTGGCGCAATATCGTCAACATACTCCAAGCCAAGAAGTCCTTCGCCTGGGAGCAGCTCCACACCTTCCAACTCGTTTTCTGCGAACACGATCTCCACGATTTCATTAATAACGAAGTTGAGGAGGAAAGATGACAGCGGGCATCCTTGTCTCACACCGCTGGAGATTTTTTTCACGGCGACAGCTTGCCGTAACCCCTCACTCTGCCCTAGCTGCGCACGTGTAATGCTCGGATAATATTTACATATTTCAGGGGCGCACCGTTCTTGAATAACCAGTGTCCAAGAGCACATCGATCAACCAAATGGAAGACACCTTTGATATCGAGGAATACTACAGCGCTGAGACGCCAGTATATATGACTGTGTTCCAACAATTGGCATAATATGAATATGTAGTCGATACCTCCTCTGCCACGATGAAATCCGGCTTGCTCTTCACGAATCTGGCTTTCATGAGTGCCAATCAGTCTGTGAAGAATGACATAGGCAGGCGATTCGGAAGCGACGGTGATCAAACGGATTCCTCTATGGTTACCGCATTCCGATCGTGCGCCTCCCTTGACAATTGGGACTATGGCGGAGCGGCTCCAGTCTGTTGGGACAGTTTCCTGCTCCCACAGTTTCACTAGTAATTCGTGTAAATCATCCACAAGAGCAGGTCCTCCAAATTTGAAGAGGGCTGGAAGAAGATCATCTGGTCCCACGGATTTATTCAACTTTAGCAGTCCGTTCTGACGTTCGACTTCTGAACGAGAGGGCGGATCCAAAGGGACACCCCAGGGAGGAGGGCAATCACTGACCGGCGGGAAATTTGACTTCCTAACGATTAAATTTTCTTTCAAAGTACTTAGTCCGACGCTCCAAGCGTTTTGACAAGATGTAGATAGACTGTCCACTCTCATCACAAATTGTTTCACTAACACCAGGTCTCCTGTTGCCCGTTTCCTGTATCAGACGGAATAACTTACGATGGTTGCCAAGGGCAGGGGCCACTTCCATCTCTGACGCACGAAAACCACCAGGATTCGCGGTCTCTCTTCAGGTTAGCACCGAGTTTTGCCCAGAGATCTGTTGCGAGTCTCATTGTGTTCGCTTCCAGTCAGAATGTGCCGACTAGCATCAGGTCAGGTACCACGAGCGATAGAGGTTCTCGGCTAACGAGGGTCATGTTTCTTCGGGCAGTAACTGAAAAACAACCCCCGACGCTGTATCGACTCTTGCTTCTGCAAAAGAACGAAGCAAGAACAGAGCAATCTTTGCACTTTCATGTGTCAGCATCAGAATACGCTACCTATTCCACAAGAATTACAATATCTCTAGGAATATCTCAAACCAACACCTATCTAAGCCCCTTTTGAAGGCTCATACAGTCCCACATTTCACTAAATTGGAAGTTTATTCTACATGTTAGCTACTCGGTTTGTAATAAATTTCGCTCTGATGTCCTAACGAGGCCTGTGTTCTTTGAGCTTCAGGTGATGCCCGCGCGGGTGGTCCAACGTAGCCAACTCAAACAGATGGGTGGGATTGATACCACTGAGTCCCCTAATGATCTTAATCGTCACAATCCAACCCCCCGCAATCTGTGTTAATAAGTTCCAGTGACTGCGAAGAAACCCATTTTCCGTATTGTCTATTAGACGAACTTTTGTACGGGATAACCTGAATTCAGATTATTTTCTACCATCTCAATCAGCCGCTTACAGACAAATTTTGGGAAGAGTAAAAAAATGTATTTGAAAAGGGGTCAATAAGGGAAACAATAAAACACTGAAAATCAGGGTCATCGCCTACATCTTAATAGAGCAAGGCAAGACTGGCCACAAGGTTGAGCTGTGTGCAAAGTTCGGGCTTCTAATGATTGAGGCTTAAGCGAAACGAAGCAAGCTCGCGTTGTACTGTCTACTGATAACCCTGATTGCCTCACGTGGGTTTTCGCACAAAGTGCAATTGAGCAAATGCTGAGTGAATGCGCTGGCGGGAATTTTATGGCCCCTATTTGCCAAGTTCCGTAGAATATGTTCCATGGTCCTAGTTGATGGGCTGCTGCTAGTAAGGCCTAGTGAACGTGAGACCGATGACCTTCAATCGTATCCAGTGAGTACTTACTCAACCCGTATACCACTGTACTTTGATACCCCTTCAGAACTCCTAGCTTCTCCAGTTGGCTGGTGTCGTCGTGGGCGTACGCCAAAACTCATCCGCAGGTCATCACATACAAGTACATAGTCGGCGTTTACGCATGTGCTCCAAATCGAGTGACAGTTCTGGACGCGGTTTCTCCAGCGGTAACTGATTGCAATATGATGGATTTGCGTCCAGCGCTGGTTCGAAGCTTGTGGGTGCCAAGTCACCTTCCGGCGGGTGCTGTTTCGGAAGTTTGTGCTGGCAAAAATTAAGCGGACACCTTCACACAAATGAGCTAACCGCTCACCGTTATCACTACGCGAGCCTACCCCGTTTTGGCCTTTTAGATTCAGTTCATCAGTGGACCATTTCAGGTACTTCATCATGGTCACTCTCGATCAGCAGGTTTAAGCTAGTCTGGAAAGGCACCAGACGCCGGCGTTTCGACCTTCTGGGTCTCGCCTGTTGTGCGTCTCTCAGCGGACCCGTGCCGGGTTCCGTCCCCATGACTTTTGCATGCCGTCAGCTAGTGCCAGTTCTCCATGGGTGACAGCCCCGGACCTGCGGGATTGACAGTTAACCATGATATAGCCCGGCTCATCTTCCACTGTCATGCAAGTTACCATCTGTGCAGAGAATAGTGGCTAGCCTAACGAGCTAGGACTTTCCGCATAGCGCCTTGGCACTGCACAAGGACTTGAAAGTATTGCGGGCAGATTTCTATATTTCTGATGAGCAGTGAGGATTATGGTATAATTCAGGTACTTCATCAGGGTCTCTCTCGATCAGCAGGCTTAGGCTAGCCTGGAAAAGCACCAGTGGAAAATTTTCCAACGAGCGTTCAGATCTCCAGCCATCACTACAGTGTCTGTGCTTCTTCTGTGGCGAAGGAGCTCATTCAGTTGGCGATATAAGTCGTCTTTTACCGAATCATCGCTGGAGTTTGTGGGCGCGTAGGGAGCGATGATGAATAGACACCGATTAGTCCCGCGCGCCTCCCAAGCTTTGAACGTGCCATCCGATCGTACGGCACACATCCGGCTACTGATTGGGATCCAATCAAACAGAGTAGCCTCAGCCCTGGAACTCAGGCCAATACCAACACCAGCTTTGCCGGTGCTCGAAGCTGTATCGTCACCAGACAGGCGCAATGAGAAAGTGCTGCTGGTGTCACCTGAAGGGGATCGTAAAGTGTGCACAGAGCTCGAATTTTGTAGACGGGACTTTATAAACATCAGATATTTATCGGGAGGGTTGCTAATACTCGATCAAGGGCTGCCTATTGACCCAGCTGTAGCAGTGTGCATACATTGAGGCATGCCAATCTGCAGTAGGATCGAACACTTCAAATAGAAGCCGATGAACTAGGGTGGGCCGCTTACTGGGACATTGGCTTGTCGACAGGGCGATAGTGCCGCTCAGCGTTTACATGTGAGTTGAAACTAAACGCCTATCAAAGCAAGATGGGGGACCAATAATTGGGGGGTTGAAAACGATGCGATAAAGGTGAAGTTGGAACGGGACGACAAGAGTGAAAGAGCCTAAAAGGTGGAATAAGAAGACAGGAAGGCTTGAGCAGTAACATCCGAACCCCTATCTATCCTGCTCGATGCAGTAGATAGGGCGTCGTTTATTATCCTCTGCGATGGCCAGAGCACCGAGAAATTGTTGAATGAAGGTTTCATCATCGATTCGGGTGACACAATCAACCCCAATAGCCTCCCTAGAGTGGTCCCATTATTTGGTATTCGCTTCGCACCTTCAAAGTGCAAAGTGTTGCTGCAGCACCATCAGCTACTTGCTAACCCCTTAACTCTTGATGGCGGGGAACTCAAGGTAGTTGATCAATTCACCTACCTTGGCAGCTGTACCAGCAAAGATGGGCGCATAGTAACTGAAGTCAATTTAAGTATTGCAAAATCGAGAAGTCTTTTTGAATCTACGGTATCTTTGACGACAGAAGAGAGTTTCCCTCCGTTTGAAAGTGCGTGTTTACAATGCCAAAGTGAGGGCGGTCATGCTCTATGGGAGTGAGACTTGGCCCCCTTCGGTCTGATGATCTGAGGCACCTTTAACTATTTGACTATTGCTGTCTGCGGAGCATTGCTGGTGTCCGCTGGCACCAACGTGTCTGCAACGATGATGTGCCTAAACGAGTAGTAAGCAATGATAACTAGATTATTTCCTTATAACAATAGATAGTACTGCATAAGTTGTGTTCGCTTGGGCACGTACTTCTTATGCCTGGTCACCGTTTACCGAAGAGGGCTTGTTTTGTTTGTCAGATATAGGGTGGCGCAAGGCTCGAGGTGAACAAAACTTGACTTGGCACTGGGAAATGGAGTCACTGACGACCAAACTGGATGCGGTCGGTCTGTCTCGCCTTCCGACCTGAAATACAAATGATATGCCTTGTGCTTGGTTTGAAACCTTACAGGCAGTGGCTCGTTGTCGATACCAGTGGCACATCTGCTGTTTTGTCCTAGTCGGACTGCCTGTTTAAACTGGTGCTGAGTTATCTGCACGGTAATGGCTGATTATGACGTGGGGCAGTGAAAGCCGCATGAAAGCTGTGTCGTTGATGCCGCCTTATATTTGCACGCTAGCCAGCTGTTTTGATGGCATGTGGTTGACAAGGTGTAGGGGTCTTGACTCTGATTGTTCGCTTAGGAGATTAAGGTTTTCAGGTAAGTCCCCGTTATCTCCATCTTGTTACTCTTCGTACAGTAGGTCATTGTGATTGCATGGCAGCGAAGCACCAGTTCAAATGGCTGATGTTCTGCTGTTTAACATGATGATTGTGATGACTTTCATTTCAGACGAATCCACAATCCACCACACTTGCAATGCAACCCAATGCGTCGATTGATCATCAGTGGTCTGAGCTCGCTTGCGACGATTCGCAGTTTCGGGTACGTACTCTTACAAATTCTTATCTTACTTGAGTCTTCTCGCCAACGTACAGTTTAGCCTTTTGTTACTGATTACATTAGTTCGCCCGGCTTTCAGCACACAAGCGGTTGTTTTTTATTTACTCCTAGAGTACATCTACTGGTCGACATCAGCCTATCGACGCAGTTAATGCCGCAACTCATCAGATCTCCGTCTTTCTTCGGCTCTTCCGTGGACTGGGGCTACCATTGAATTGGCAGTCGTGTCTGCGTAGTCCTCTGCTTCAATAATCCACTTTTCACTTGTTTTCGACTCTTGTAAACCAGTTTGTATCATCGATATAACATCGGCTTTTTGTTATCAAGTGGTAGTCTGCTCCGCCCTGTAACTTGATTCCAGACCGTTTTTGCTTGTTGCCGTTTTGTCCCCCCCCCCATGGACTCATCGTTTTTCACTACATACGAACTACTTTAGGGATTTATCTAGTTTAGGCGCACCAGCGCCATATGTCACTTATCGTTGATCAATGCGTTCAGAGCATAGCCCGAGTCGCAGCTGGTGGCAAGCGATTAGTTACGCTTTTGTAGCCCCTCGTCTACTGTCGTGTGTTGTTCCTGTCGGCAACCAAGGTTGGTCCTCAAAAAACTTTCTGCTTACTCATTTGGGATCACAAATAAAAACAGCAATTTTTAACCCGCTCTGTTTCAATCCGGGCTCATCTTACGCTAACTTCCCCACTAATTGGACATACGACCTATCGGCGCTGAATCGTAAATACCTGCGTCCCAAGGTTCAGCATCCTAAAAATGACCCCATTGCAGTTAAAGTTGTACTGAATGCACCCTAGTCTAACCATCATTATTGATTGCGTAGTCATTATTCACTGCTCTTATCGGACCCATGAACGCCACTACTAAGCACATTCCGACGCACTGTTCAAGGTTGCAGTAGAATGTCTTTCCGCAGAAGTAAACAGGAATTCGCAAGTCTCTCTTGTAAAATGCCTGACCCCTCAGCGGGATTAGATGTCCCAATTTGAAACAGAAAGATAATTTATCCCAAATCAGATTGCTAGTGACTTGTACTTATGGATTTGATATGGATTCACGGAATTTCATGTGCGCCCCTCCTGACAGTTTGTGGTTGCATTTAAAATCTGCTTTCTCAAGGAAGAAGTTTTAGTTTCCAAGTAACATGACACTGTTCAAATTAATCTCGGGTCATCGTTTCTGTCTAGATTCACATCTCCTTGTGACAGTTGATTGAAATCCTGCAAGATTGATAATCGTACGTTTTGCGTGACCATTTCAACCCTATTCAGTGCATTAAATCCACTCTCGTACTTGGTATCTTGTGCCACAGTTGCTGGCACACGACCAGGCGCTTGTCCACACAGATAGCAGAGCACCCATTTTTTCTTTACAACTACATGGTTTAGAATGTCCGCGGCTTCAGTCTATAGCACCTGCTTGGTACTTAACATCAGACTCGAACGGAGGGCGTATTTAGAGCGGTTTGCATGATATTGGAAGGAAAACACAAGTGACACAAAAGACGTTCATATGACACTGCCGAGGCCACTGCAGTCAGGGTACTAATAACGGGGTTAGACAACCAGACTACACTCGTACAAGCTACCGTATTGCCTTGGTCGTGAAGAGACTTCAATCATGAGGTAAAGTGCCCGCTGCGAAGAATAATTTCTGCCGCCCCTATGGCCAACGTAGCCGCGCTTTGGGTGTGTGTGTGTGTGTGCACTTTCTGCCTTTTGTAGGCAACTTCACTCATAGTTAGCTTGTTGAAAAACCTAAACAACCTGTTGTTCATTCAAGTTCACACGGGCATCAATTTATTCTCTCCCTGAGGGGTTACATGAACACACTATCAGTGACACTCACATTGGTCATGGGACATTAGCCAATGAGACTCCCTGGATGTAAGCACAGGACTAGATGTATGCGTCTATGGGGGACAGGTATGCTCCCGAGTAGGTTGACACATTGGTGTTAACGGAAGGCAGACAGGGGTGAGTGTCAGTGCTAGAGGTGACCAACAGTAAGTCTGACTGCAGCTGTTCAACTCAGGCTGAGGTGTTTGAACGTTCTCCCTCAGCACCCCTTTAACAGATCTTTTGTCGGAAAGAGTTACTATTGGTTCCGACCGGTAGCCGGCGTTTCTGTAACAAATTTCCAGCGCTTGTTCTAGCAGTCCGTAACGCATCGAGCACATAATATGTGATCGGTACAAGGTGCATAGTACTGGTGACACATTTAGGCTCCCGGTTAATATTGACTCGTGTCGAAACATTATACCACATGAAGATAATAATAATAATAATAATAATAATAATAATAAAGAGCATCTTTCTCATCAAGTGAAAAAATGTGAAAATAGTTGGCACAGCACATACACGCACAGGTGATGTTATGCAAGAGCAATATCAAGTTATCATCTTATATTTGTCTGCATTCCTGGCAAGGTATTTGCCCCATATGTTTGTCTTATGCGATGGTAGGAGGCAAATTTGCAGTTTGAGTATGTTGTAGACACTGAGCACTAATTAGCTTGCGTGAAGTGTTGATATTCCACTCATTAGACGTTATCTGGGCTTTCATTAAATGCATGTTTAAATGATCTTTCCCACGAAATAGTCGACATAATGGTGTCCAGGTAGAGGAAGCTACCCAACTTACTGCGAAAGGATTGCATGGCCTGATGGTGAATAGCAACCGATTTCACAGAGAAGCATCTATAGTGAGACGAAAGTTATACCACAAATTTATCTTGCATCGTGTTATAATCAGGGTAAGGTCTTTGTTACCTAGGTCTCCCATATAATTGTGCTTCAGTGAATCGATTGCAATGGGTATCGCCATGAATCAGATTGTGCAGCAGTCTTCGCAGCCAAAGCGGATCGAGATGAAGTTGCTGGCATCGTTCCCGAAAGTTTATGATAAAATTTTTTTACCTAATATGTGCTTATGAAATGACCCTTGAATGCTTTCTATCGATGTTCTGTCTAATTTCTCATATTGTCTCAGAGTATGCTGCGATACTCCAGAATGGGACGACTAAGGATTTATAAATGGTTCAACTGATCTGTGATTGTATGCATGTTATGAGAGATGTTAGCGAATGATTGTCTGGCTCGTACTATCTGCTACTCAATCTTTTCTAAGAACATGAAGGTACAAAAATATCTGATTCCAAGATCACGGGTAGACCGTTTTAGACAGTCGCGTTCGCTGTTACGTGTGATAAATACTTCGGGCGTCAAGCGACCGCGACATATGATACTTGACTGTTGTGCTTAAGACGTCATCATCCACTTGTCGCACTAAGTCTCAAGCGAATGAATGTTTTCTTGTATGTGTGGTAGTACATTCGGAAGCTTAACTCCTCCTCAGTACCTGTGAACAAATGGTTTATCTTCAACAAATAAATACGACACGCCATGTTTGTTAACCGAACTGCTATTGTTGACAAAAAGAAGGGAAAATGATGTATCGAGCGCACTTCTTTGTTTAACCCCTTTGGTAGTTGGACGCGGGGATGAGCATTAGTCGCCCAAGGTGGCTATTTTAACTGGACTGTTCATGTAAATCCAAGACCAATCCGTCCTGTTTGTGCTGAGGTGATCAGTTATCACATCCTGGATACTTTTTCGTAATTTTGAGTCTGGTCTGCACAATTCCCTCACCTTGACGCCTCATCCGCCTCTGCATCTTTGAAACACGCATCGTATTGCATACTGGGTCACTATATCTTGCAGCTGGTCACTTTGCCACAGCGGATGACGCCACCGCTTTGGCCCAGGGAAGGGTTGCATGCTCCAACTCTTCACCAGGCATACTGGCAGCGTACCGTGTAGGGACGAGATGACTTCCTGAGCGCGTTAGTGGGAGCGAACACCATCAACTCATCGTTACCTCGGATGCGGTCCCAGCGCTAAAAACTGCAAGATTTCTTTTTAGTTAAAACGTGGGCAAATTCGCTTTCCGAGAAACATTCCTAACGCTGTATGGCTACTCACAAGTGAACACCTTTACATTTGGTCACCGTTGCCTCATTTTAAATTTCTTCTAGTTCTGTTTTCTTTTGCATCTAATCCGGTATGTTATCCGTAGAAATGCGTAATGTCATCGTTGGTGGGACGATCCATTTTGTGTGTGCAGCAAATAAAGTAGCTAAGTCATTGTTCCCGTTTAACATTTTGTTAGAGACAAGTCCTCTTGTTGTTGAGGTAACTTCTGATCACTTGTCAAACCCCTTTTAGCATTCCTTTACTGGCTGGTTTTTTTCATTTTGCCCTATAGATCATGGTCTCGCTGCCTGCTGGCATCGGATGCAGTATCATTTCAGCATTTGCCGAAGAGTTGGTCTACGCCTCGTTCGTAAACGTCCGCTTGTCCTTCCTTCGGGCTTATTCACTTGACCCACTCATCCATCCACGTGAGTGGTCCGGCAACTTCAATGTGCCTGTCCAGCCTGATGGACTGCACCATGCCACTGGTGTACTGGCCCAGTCAAATCCAACGCATGAGACTGATGATCAGCTTCAAGAGGATATCGATACCGACCCAAGCTCACTTCTTGACTGGGTCACATTGCATTCCAACACTCGAGGGTTTACAACGTCAAATTCTCTGTCCGATTTTGTGGGGCTGGATATCGAACATATCCAGGTGGGGAGGGTACTATTGATTCATTGCTCTCTCTCAGCATCCGCATTTACGAAAGCTTTTTGTGCATTCTGCTTGCAGCGTCCATACCACATAGGTACATCTCCGTTATATACGCATTAAGGGTTCAACTATTCTTTGCGAGCTCTACTGCACAAAATCATCGATAGCAGGTGGCCTTACTCTAACTACAACTGTGTCGACCCCGTCAGGATGTGCTGACTTTAACCTAGCATCCGTGCGTTTCCCCATTAATGTGTTCCGATAACTTTTCTCCTGTCACTCATCTCTCGATAACCGCAGTCTATCCGCTCATTTTTCCCACTAAACAAGTCATATCGAATAACGGTAAAATCACAGCACCAGATAAATTCTCACCTTGCACTACATCCTTTCCACTGGAGTTGACTGATCGGAGTATTGGCTCCATTTACTAGCGGCAATTTGCATTCCCCCTTTCCCACTAAATGCCGTCAGAGTGTTGCTTACTAGCACTACCCTCCACAGCCGGTGTCGTCTTTGTTGTTCCCTCGCTGTTCTGCTCACACTTTTCTCGGATTGCTCATGTATGCTTCACATTTACTTTCTTCTGCGGTGACGTTCTACTTGATGAACCCTTTAGCTCCCGGATTATTCATCTCCGTTTGTGTCGTGCCCATCCACTGTACAAACTCTGCTGAGTGGTTTAGCCATCGCTGCACGTTTTACCACGGGGTTCGTATCACTATCAACTAATCACGAGAGATAGCTGACCAGGTCAAGTGGATAGACAAAAGCACTTCCGTCAAAGGGAATTGTTAAGCTTCAACAATGAGAGCACGAACGCGAGAGCGCCACAGACTTCGACGGTGCACTACATCCGATATGCTCTTTAGTCCCTTTTGTGGCCGATCCCCAGAGTCGCATCCAGGAAGACGTCGAGCACCAACTCGACTCAGCCTTTTGTCATGACCTACCGCCTTTGGGTTTCACTCCAACTAGTTGTGGCATTGGTAAACAATGCACATTGAAGCAGTCAGTTCGCATACATGGTTGGCGGCATCCGGTTTCGGATTTGCCTGTCACTGTGGCAAGCCACAGGACGCCTGCGCCTACAGAGGGACCATGGGTGGCTTGCGCTGCACCACCCACAGCTCCATCCACACACCCCATATCCAGTATAAACCCGAAGGAATAAGACCGGGGGCATGCGGATGGGAGCCACGTTTCATCAACGGAGCCGGCCCACACTCCTTCACAGGCAAACACAAGCACGCTGTATTTGGGGAATCAAGTGCACACAAGGCGGTGGCTGGACCGTAGTCCGCTTCACACCGACTGCATGGAACCACTATTCGAGCCTAGCACGGCCACAAGGACCGTGCACCCCGTCCCCTCCAGCAACGACCAACTGTCTCCTGGAGCCAGTATGAACGAGGTAGTGGGTAATAAACAAGTATGCACCTTGTCAACATGCACATCAAGCGCAGCCACACCAAAGGATATCAAGCAACAGCCAATCACTTGAAACGACAAGACGAAATAAAATAAATCCAATAATGCATACAGATACGGCGGCATAACTCTTCGCTAAATTACCATATGAAGTAAGTTGGTTAGCAGCATATCCGCGAGAAGTAAGAAAGGTTCACGAGTTACTTACAAATGCTACAAACGCAAACAAGTTACCGAAGATAAGAGCAATTAGTGTAAGCAACGTGGCCAGTTAATAGAAAATCATTTAAGTAGGCAGAACAAACCGAATAAAGTGGAATGAAATTTATCCAGCTTAAAAAGACCTAGTTTAAGTGTAAGTTGGTTTAGCCTAACTGCGGTGAAGAAGCATCAATAATGCAACATCATATAATACAATACACAAAGGAAACATAGATACAACAGTTGCATGCCAGCTGAGGTACCAGAAACGGATAGGCATCGTTCCGGTAAGCTACCAGCCAGCTACTAGGCAAAAAGAAAAAAATTCATTATGTTTTACCCTACGAAATGAGATCTTAGATGGAGGGGGAGGCTAAAAGGGATGGGGAGGGACAAAGAAACTCACAGCACAAACGCCACTGAGGTCGGCTCCTTGCCATGTCAGCAAGTGTATCCAGCCAAACGTGTTCACCGTCTTTTGGACCCCAACCAGGGAGCCGTGACGCTCCAACCAAGGGTAGCTCCGAAGTGAGGGCCTTCATTCCTCTGGACCAAGTCATCGCTTGGCCACCTCTTCTTCCACCCACATCCCCGGTGAGCAAACAACGCACGTTGCGGGAGTCGGTGGGCTGGCATGCGTAACACGTGGCGGAGCCTGGTGCGTGAAATAACGGTGCTGAGCGGTTCATTTCCTGTGCTGTAAACAAGGCGTCGAACACGCTCGTTGCTCATGCGGTGTTCCCACCAGATGTGAGCCAAACTGCGAAGGCACCGATGGTCGAACGTAACTAGCCTCTTCATGTCGACTGCTCTAAGTGGCCGTGTTTCACAATCGTACAGTAGTGTCGAACGTACCGCTGCATTGTACACTCTACCCTACAGGGAGTGTTGTCGCGCCGCCGCCATAAGTGGCGATGGTTAGCAAAAGCACTTCGAGCTTTCGCTATACGGTTCGTGATCTCGTCTTCGATCCCAAGGGCGCTGATGCAACTTCCCAGGTAATTGAATTTCTGAACGACTTCTAGCTGATCCCCACCAAGGGTCAGCGCAGGAGGCGATCCTTGCCAATCTTGGAGGAACGCTTTGCAGTTCGATGGTGCAAAGCAAAGCCCGAAGCGGCTGACAGCCAGTGCTAATCTGTCCAGCGCGGCTTGGCACGTCTGGGAGCTGTCACAGATGAGGGCAATGCCGTCTGCATACTCCAAGTCAATAAGTCGTTCTCCTGGGAGTAGCTCCTCACTTTCCAAGTCATGTCCTGTAAATGCAATCTCCATGGCTTCGTACGCAAAAGTTAAGCTAGGAAAAAAGTTTAATGTACGGGAGAAGAGCTAGCTAATGCTAAAAATAGGGCACCAGGAGAGAGCTAGTTAGGGAGCATGTAGTTGGGCGTCGAGTGCGTGGACGGAGTGTCGTTCGCAGTCGAGTCGCGTACGCCAAAGGCGGAGATCGTGTTTTTGTTTCAAACGAACGGAAACAACGTTTCGGCAGGCAGACTGCCTAATTCCCTAATACATAAGAAAGCCATAATCTTAATGTTTTAGAATAGTTTCCAGTCATACGGAGGAATCTCCAGGTCACTACACAGCCGCCCTCCTAGAAAGGAAACTGTGGGTGACCCTTCGATCTGCGGGAGGACTGTCCGTCGCGGGCCAGCCTTCTGCGAGACCAAGCAGTGAAACCTGATGCAGTTGATGGGGGAGAACCAGGCGGTCGGACCCTAGCGGGCTCCCACCCGTGTCCTCCCTAAAGGTGCCAAAAACACAAAATGGGGGAAGGTTCGTAAACGTCAACTGTTCGCTTCAGGCTCGTCATCACCTTTGGTTCATACTTGGAAGATAAACCGTAACAAGAGTAGTGACAGTGGTTGCGAGGGCAAAAGTAAGAGTGACGCATACCGGATGAGGTAAGCGTCAAGCAAAACGCGACTCCTTTTATGTGTTTTCAAAACGTTTTCTTCTTTTTTGGGTTTTCAAAACATTTTGCGTTCCTTTGTGATTTTCAAAACGTTTTTCGATTTTTTGGCGTTTTCAAAAGCTTTTGCCGATTTTGTTGCTTTTCGTACGTTGTTGGCCCAAAGGGAGAAGGTAAGCAAGAAAAGAAAAGTGGAAGCAACACTAATCCTTTAATCGCGCTGGCCAATGAACGCGCCTACTCGACTTAGTCAACTTGTGCGGATCAGAGGAAGGCGTCGTCTTTGACGTCCTATCAGATCGCAAAGTTGGAGGAACCGCTGAAGACGTGGCGGTTGGTTCGATGGGAAGCGGCGGAGTGAAAGTGAATGGCTTGGATGGATGTTGATGCTTAAGGTCAGGAATGTTGGAAGCAGACGAGTCTTTCATCGTCAACAACAGCAGTACATCAGTCATTTAAACTGATGCTTCGCTGCCATACAACCATGATGACCTAACGAACAATGAATAATAAGAGGGAGAGAAGGGGAACTTATCTGAAAACCTTAATGCCTTAAGCAAACATTCAGGATCAAGGCCCCTACACCTTGTGTAGACAACATTCCGTCACAAACAGCTGGCTATCGTGCAAAGATAAGGCGGCATCGGCGAGACAGCTTCCTTGCGGCTTTCACTGCCACGCGTCATAATCAGCCATTACCCCGCAGATAACTCAGCACCAAACACATTTTAAACAGGCAGTCTGACTAGGAGACGGCAGCAGACGCGCCACTGGTGTCTACTGCGAGACATGTCCTGTAAAGTCTCGAGCCAAGCACAAGGCGAGTCACGTAGACTTCAGCCCTGAAGGCGAGACGGACCAACGGCACCCAGTTTGGTTGTCAAGATCTTCATTTCTCGCTGCCAAGTCAACTTCTGTCCAGCTCGGGGCTTGTGCCACCCTACACTTGGTAGACTAAACAGGGCCCTCCTAGGTAAGCGGGAACCAGGCATACGTAGCACGTGCCCGAGACAACGCAACTTATTCAGTGCTATCTGTCGTTCTAGGGTGAAAGCATGATTATCACCACCAAGTACTCGCCTATGCACATCATATTTGCGGACACGCTGGTGTCATCCGACACCAGCAATATTTCGCAGACAACGATAATCAAAGACTTGAAGGCGCCTCAGATCTTTAGACCGAAGGGGCCAAGTCTCTCTACCATACAGCAGAACGGCCCCCACTTTGGCCTTGTATACACGGTCTTTCAGACGGAAGGAAACTCCCTTCTGTCACCAAAGATGCTGCAGGTTCAAGAAGTCAACTCTGGTCTTTGCAATACGTGAGCTGAGGTCAGTTTCTATGCGCTTATCTTTGTTGATGCAGCTACCAAGATAAATGAATTGATCAACCACCTCAAGTTCCTCGTTAGCAAGGATCAGGGGGTCATAAAGTGGCTGGTGGTCCTGCAGCAACACTTTGCACTTTGAAGGTGCAAAGCGCATACCATATAATGGGACCACTCTAGACAGGCTATTCAGGGTTGATTGTGCCACCGCAACATCGTTGAGAAGCAAGACGATATCGTCCGCATGATCAAGATCAACTAATCTTTCACCAGGCAGCACTTCAATACCTACATCGTGAGATTCCACAAGAAAACATTCCATAATAGAATGCAGGACGAAGTTGAACAAAAATAGGGAAATCCGACAACGTTGACGAATGCCACTTGTGGTCGGAAGGGTATCCGATGGGCCACCGTAGACCCTGACGCGGCCTGTCGTGTTCGAGTATAGAGCACGAAGGATGTTCACATATTTCGTGGGAACACCTTTCCGAGCAAGTATTTCGAACAGAATCGATCGATCGACTGAATCAAATGTACATACGCAGCACATAACATCCACGGTAAGCGATTTGTGCTCAGCAGACACTCTATTGAAGCACTGGTTGGCCTGCTGCCCCGAACCCCACATGAACTTCCATGGGACTTGCTTGGTGTTCGTACCTGACGTGAGCAGTACCTCTCAGGCATTGGTGCTTATACACAATACATTTGGTCAGGAGTAAAACTGTTAGGGAAATCATTTCGTTTTAAGGAACTAGTGCGGGATTTCACCTATGAATCATTGTATCTCTCAATCAGACAGCTGTCTGGCATTAGGCTCTTCGGCAAGTTGCACCCTCATGGGGCCCATTGTTATTCGCCCGCACAATCCTTCTCCTTCAAAGCATTGGTTGTTTCTGGTAAACTCATACTGAATTTCTCTGTGGCACATCACTTATTAATTCTGGCAACTTCACTAAAATCCTTTCTTGTACGACTGCGGTTATTATGAGCTTCCTCAATGTTTCGATATCCGTACGTAGAAAACCAAGATTTTACGACACCGACAAGCATATATTAACTTAATCAATGTATTGCATTTCCTTCAAGCTTTTGGTTAACGTTCTGCCCGCGATTGCTTAATCCTTTCTAGCTTGATTTATTTCCCCTAAGAGCAATTATGTCCCATCATTGCTTTCATCAGATAAATAATCAGCTTCCCGGTGCAACCCTACCGGTGTTGCTGTTCACAAACACCAGAACCGCGTCTACCCATAGTCGTGGCGCCTCAGGTATCCACAAGATTCATCGGAGAGTCATCGAAGGTCGACCAGTCACAAATGTTGTCGATGCCCCATGCACCTTAACAGTGGCATTTCAACGCGAGGTACAATCCCATTGGAAGGTTCAACTCTTTAAAGCTTTCCAGGTTTGTTTTACTCTTTTCCATCTTCCGTCACATTGTCCTGTGTTGGATTGGTTTTGCACGCATGTTGTTCCACTGGACTTCTTGTTCACTACCCTGCCTACAGAACTTCTTAATGCAGTGTTATGTATTTCGAAGGCAGGTGAAAATTAGCTTTCTATCTCCTTGTTTCTCGACTTGTCACTTCTCCGCTTGATATCTTTTACTCTCAGCCTATATTCACCCCTTGCTACTCGGTGGAGCACTTAAATAGTAGTTGCTTTTAAGTCTTCTCCTGCTCTTAGTTCCTCTCACAACTAGGTTATGCGATGGAGACTTAACTCACTCCCGTGGCCGTTCGTTGCTGGCGGATTGTTGCTATATTTATTCGGTCAGCTGGCTAGCATTCTGAAGCGTTGCTTTCTATGGGCTTGTAACCTACGATGATAGTCGAGGTTCCCGAACGGCTATGTCGGGCCACTTGTGTTCCTTTCCCCTTGTTTTAGAGTCGGTCAAATCGAGATACAAAGGGCTCTGTTTGCATTCCGTTTTTACAGGTAAATGTTAGTCCTGTTATTATTCAAGCCGAGGAGTTACTGTTGCTGAAGCTTATTCAATTCTGGCAACACACCACGGGCGCGCTTCTTGCGACTGCTACGCCCTCCCAAGATTCGTTGGATGAGAACGTTACCATAAGGTTGGCATTTTTTTCATCTTGGTTTTTGGTCTCTTGCGCCTCAAAGTTCGCATTGGTCATATCGATTAACTAGCATGGACTCATTCCTCATTGTCGACGTACTTTCGGCCACTATTAATCCCTCGCTTCATTCCCCAGGACATATTCATCAACTCCGATGGACAATGGTCACCTCCTCTGGTTCGATCGATTGTTCATCAGTTGCATCCCTTTGCGACTGAGTGTGCAAACTGCGAAACAATCTTTAACTTCCTCCAATCTGGCCGGCGCAAAGCGCCTTTTGCCTTCTTTAATGAGCTTCTCTAACGCGGACGTACAATTAGGTGAGTGCTGCGCGCACTGCGCTCATCCGCCTTTGGTGTGTGTTTATCTAACAGAGTGTTTTTGGCAAAACATCCATTTGGTCTCAGTTATTACTTCCCATGGTTGGTATTTTGTTTGACATAAGTGTCTACTCCAATCGGCCTACTCTCTCTTTCCCTCAGCCCCACTTCACATCATTTATCTTCATGTGCACTTGATTGCGGTTTTGTGGGTCTGTGAATGTCGATTGTGTGTCCTCAGTCCTCAGCTTCGATTATCCTACCCGTGATACGATTTGTGATCCCACTTTTCAATCAGCCAAGATGATCATTCGGTTGGAGCACTCCTCCAACCAGGGACATCCGAAAGGCTAGTTTGGAGAATGAATATTGTGCACACCGACCTGCGATTGGACTGGCGATATGGGCTACAGGTTTACCGCTCCTGAGCATAACGAAGCCGCGTTTTCTTAGGCGAGCTCACCGATTTGTAACTAAACTGTGCGTGAACCATTTCTATGTGGATTCACGACTGTTGATGAGGTGCGATCGGTGCTTTGCAAAGTTCACAACACTGCAAACTGAATCTGTACATGTCTGCCGCACGGGTTGCTATATGCTTGCCTTCATCCCATTCAGTTAGGCATATGTACGCTTGAATATTTGTGGTATTACCGAGTTCAAACAAACTGATAATAGGATTATGTCAGTACTTAACCTTGTATTTCATTCAATCGCCCTTTAGCAACTGTGCACATGGTGATTGTCGATACTCTGTATTTACACGGGATGGGCGACACCAGTGTAATAATAATAAAATAACCATTCATCTTGAGTGAAGAGCGTTTCGTGGTGGTGGTGGTGGTGGTGGTGGTGGTGGTGGTGGTGGTGGTGGTGGTGGTGGTGGTGGTGGTGGTGGTGGTGGTGGTGGTGGTGGTGGTGGTGGTGGTAGTAGTAGTAGTAGTAGTAGTAGTAGTAGTAGTAGTAGTAGTAGTAGTAGTAGTAGTAGTAGTAGTAGTAGTAGTAGTAGTAGTAGTAGTAGTAGTAGTAGTAGTAGTAGTAGTAGTAGTAGTAGTAGTAGTAGTAGTAGTAGTAGTAGTAGTAGTAGTAGTAGTAGTAGTAGTAGTAGTAGTAGTAGTAGTAGTAGTAGTAGTAGTAGTAGTAGTAGTAGTAGTAGTAGTAGTAGTAGTAGTAGTAGTAGTAGTAGTAGTAGTAGTAGTAGTAGTAGTAGTAGTAGTAGTAGTAGTAGTAGTAGTAGTAGTAGTAGTAGTAGTAGTAGTAGTAGTAGTAGTAGTAGTAGTAGTAGTAGTAGTAGTAGTAGTAGTAGTAGTAGTAGTAGTAGTAGTAGTAGTAGTAGTAGTAGTAGTAGTAGTAGTAGTAGTAGTAGTAGTAGTAGTAGTAGTAGTAGTAGTAGTAGTAGTAGTAGTAGTAGTAGTAGTAGTAGTAGTAGTAGTAGTAGTAGTAGTAGTAGTAGTAGTAGTAGTAGTAGTAGTAGTAGTAGTAGTAGTAGTAGTAGTAGTAGTAGTAGTAGTAGTAGTAGTAGTAGTAGTAGTAGTAGTAGTAGTAGTAGTAGTAGTAGTAGTAGTAGTAGTAGTAGTAGTAGTAGTAGTAGTAGTAGTAGTAGTAGTAGTAGTAGTAGTAGTAGTAGTAGTAGTAGTAGTAGTAGTAGTAGTAGTAGTAGTAGTAGTAGTAGTAGTAGTAGTAGTAGTAGTAGTAGTAGTAGTAGTAGTAGTAGTAGTAGTAGTAGTAGTAGTAGTAGTAGTAGTAGTAGTAGTAGTAGTAGTAGTAGTAGTAGTAGTAGTAGTAGTAGTAGTAGTAGTAGTAGTAGTAGTAGTAGTAGTAGTAGTAGTAGTAGTAGTAGTAGTAGTAGTAGTAGTAGTAGTAGTAGTAGTAGTAGTAGTAGTAGTAGTAGTAGTAGTAGTAGTAGTAGTAGTAGTAGTAGTAGTAGTAGTAGTAGTAGTAGTAGTAGTAGTAGTAGTAGTAGTAGTAGTAGTAGTAGTAGTAGTAGTAGTAGTAGTAGTAGTAGTAGTAGTAGTAGTAGTAGTAGTAGTAGTAGTAGTAGTAGTAGTAGTAGTAGTAGTAGTAGTAGTAGTAGTAGTAGTAGTAGTAGTAGTAGTAGTAGTAGTAGTAGTAGTAGTAGTAGTAGTAGTAGTAGTAGTAGTAGTAGTAGTAGTAGTAGTAGTAGTAGTAGTAGTAGTAGTAGTAGTAGTAGTAGTAGTAGTAGTAGTAGTAGTAGTAGTAGTAGTAGTAGTAGTAGTAGTAGTAGTAGTAGTAGTAGTAGTAGTAGTAGTAGTAGTAGTAGTAGTAGTAGTAGTAGTAGTAGTAGTAGTAGTAGTAGTAGTAGTAGTAGTAGTAGTAGTAGTAGTAGTAGTAGTAGTAGTAGTAGTAGTAGTAGTAGTAGTAGTAGTAGTAGTAGTAGTAGTAGTAGTAGTAGTAGTAGTAGTAGTAGTTGTTGTTGTTGTTGTTGTTGTTGTTGTTGTTGTTGTTGTTGTTGTTGTTGTTGTTGTTGTTGTTGTTGTTGTTGTTGTTGTTGTTGTTGTTGTTGTTGTTGTTGTCTAGGCCACCGAGCTCCGTGAATGACACTTGACACAGGTTGAGGAAATCAGTTTGACTTCATAGTACTAACCGTGTTTGAATTGCGGCATTCAATTTCCATTGAGACTTGGGTTTACGTTTACGGTCTTAGTGACCTGAATGACCGAGGTGTACTTTAAAGTAAACCAAAGTCCCACCCGAGGTTGCGTGTCGTAATCCAGCCATACGGCGGTTACTCTTGGGCCCAACTTTCAATTCTCAACCGTCGTGCCAATCGTCGTTTACAAATCTCAGTGTTCTAAAAGTCAAGATACTAACCGTTAGCTATGTCGTCGCGAGCTCCACTCAGTTACGGCTATCTTTATCTGATGAGTTCAAACGGGGACGAAACTGGTCCGGGGAGTGATGTGATGGGGTGGTGCAGCTCCGAAATCTCTCCACTTAGGATGTGACCCCGGTGATCGAAATGTCCGGAGTCTACTTCGGAGCCAACCGAGGTCCCAATACTAATATTAGTAATACTACTAACAGTTTACTCCCGATTTTCACGAGTTACGCCTAGCAAGACATGATCAGTGAGTTACAAGCACCTGAAAACACCGGCACAATTCGGTTAACAATTATGGCGAATACTAAGGCTGATACAACGATTTCATGAGAGAACCTTTTTCTACTCGGACCAGATTTACATGGGGAAGTGAAGAGTTGTAAACCCGATCGAAATGCCGTTTATAAATTCACTGCAGGCATAGAGACTTTTCCTCATATATTCCAAACCATAATAGATCACTAAAAGAAGATCCATCCTTGCCCGTTCATCTTGGAAGGAAACTTGTTTTTGCATTAAGCCTCAGCGGAGACAGGTTATTTGGACGAATTTCTACTCAGGTTGGTACTCATTTTAAGGAGGTCTATTACGCATAACTCATCAGACAATTACAGTTTCAAGGCTGCTGAAGATAGACGGAAACGTGCAACCCCCCCCCCCCATCTTACCATGGCTCCAATCGACAGATGTATATAGGCTATTTATGTTGGATCATTCCACCCTCGTAGTTTAGCGCATGCCTGATAGGGACACCGCTTGAGCAATGAGCGTGTTCGGCTTCACGTATTTTGTGCAGGAAGAGCGAGTGAATCGCTCAGCACCGTTTTATGTCGCACCAGACTCGGATGGCTGGGCCTCGTGTTGCACATGTCAGCACACTGATTCCCACGGCGTGCGTTGTTTGCACGACCGGGTGCGGTTGGAAGTAGAGAAGGCTAAGCGATGACTTGATCAAGAGGTATGAAGTTTCTCACAGCCCGGTAGCCGGGCTGGGGTCCGAACACGTTCGGTTAGATACACTTATTGACATGGCAAAGAACCGGACTCCATTACAACCCCCAGGTTCTAACGACTGGCGTGAAGACCACTGTGTAATAGAGTAAATCTAACACGCTAGACGAAACGCGAAATCTCACGACTGTGCCACGAACCGGAGAGAGAGAGAGAACTAACCTTCAGCTGGAGTGCTTTTGTTGGCTCAACCAAAGCCGCACATGTTTTGCACTTGCGTCAGTCACTAATCATTACGAGATGAGCTGCAGAAAGAAAACGGGACGTGTCTTACCACAGAGCTCACTAAGTCTTTGACGGAAGCTCAGAGGTGATTAGCGTGATCGTATGACTTGTTCACTAGCAACTGCGCACACGGCATCGGATGAGAATGTGCGCGGAAGCTTGCAATTCCCAACAGCAGCTTACTGCCGGCTCTCTAAGTTTCGTCCCAGTGATTTTGCATCCTTTATACAATAACTGTATTTTTCTCTGATCTTCTTTTTTGCTGGCTCCATGTCTATTCGTAGACCTGCGAAAAGAATATCTACGTTGTACGTGTTACCACTTTTGGTCTACTTCGGCACAATTCTTTTCTGCCCGTTCACCTCAGTTCCATTTCTCATCTGTTTTACGCGCAGTGCCTTATGATATCCCATATCTACCTGTCTACTTGTATTGCCTTGTTTCCCCTAGAACCGCTCCGGTGCTCACATATCCTCGAAACAGGTTCATATCTTTGTACGCATTTGATTACTCACTACAAACTGCAACTGCGCGCTCATGCGGTTCACATCTTCGGATCTGTGGACTTCTTGGGTAATCCGATCGGTTTGATCAACGACTTGACCTCTGGCATCTCTGGTTTGGTGGAACTAGATGTGGGTAGCCTGATTCGCCATGTGGCACATGGCTTTGGTGATAGCACGGCCAAAGTGAGTGCAACGCTTTCGTCTTTGTATTTTGGACCAGGATCAGTCGAATGCATGTTACTCTTGGCTTGCGTAAACCCACTCATCTTGCACACCTAACGCTTCAACACTTCTTGTCTACTTGTTTCATCCTGCATGTTACTTTCCTGATTTGTGGCTTGTGTGTTGAATTCCTTGCAATCTCGTTATTCTTCGTGTTCCTATGCTGTTCGCCATTACAACGCTGATCAATGGATTGCATCATATAACGGCATATTCCTCTTCCTGACTCCCTTTTGTGTCGCACCAGGTGGCCGGTAGTTTTTCGCAATTGCTCAACGCCATATCATTAGATGAACAGCATCAGTACAAACGGGCTGCTATACTCGGTGGGATTCCAGACTCCTCACCACTAATTCCTCAGCGTAGTACATCACAGGCTTCACATTCGTACGCACAATCCCATCCAACCGGCGATCGATTGGCGACAGAAGATTTGGATGAATTCGAAATCGCCGACAATAGCGCATTGGTGCCAGCCTTGTCCGTGGACTCGAGCAAAGCGATTGCTCCGTTAACAGCCGGTCTCCGAGGATTCATGCACGGTTTCGTCGGTGGTATGACCTCCATGGTCACGCAGCCCTACAAAGGAATCCAAGAAGATCAATTCAAAGTTTGTTGTATTCCTCACTTAGTGTCGCGTTGCCGGTGGCCATTCATTTTCACTTTCTTTTGGTCAGTGTTCTTTACCTCGCATCGCTCAGTTTGTTGCTCCTCGACAGCGCGTTACTGGATGCCACGGGGCTACATCAGTTCAGTTCAGTTTATCAACTAAACACCATACACCGAGGGGCGGTGGATTCAAATGTCTTTACTCACGCCGTCTAACTATACCAACAATAAGAGGCGTGATCAAGCAATAAAACCGCCAGATGTAGAAGTTGGGAGGCACATTTAAAGGAACGAATGCAAGAATACCACTGACTTCGTGAATAAGATATATCCGAAAAGGTACTCGACCACTATTGTAGTCGATCCCACAGCCCCAATTCAGAAAGATAACAATCAACCTCCCTGCTCAGTCTTTCGATACGTTTCTTCATTTTCTTCTGCCATGTCATTGACTGACGGCCTGGGTATTTCGCCAATCTAGGCGCATCGTTGGCATACCACACATTTCTAGACAGTCGACCCGGTTGTTTGCAGAGCACATGACCAAGTCACCGAGTGCGATTTGTGTTCAACCCAGGCTGCATCATTCAACGTAGGTCACAGACTGACGCATTCTCATGTGTACACGATTGAGAACTGTTCGTGCTATCTTACCGAACCGCTCTTACTCGCTATATCTGAACAAGACTGACGCTACGAACGGGATGTTTACTTGGAGCCGATGAGGTGTGACTTGTGGTATTACTTAACATCTTCATCTTTGGGACGAGTTCAGTAAGATATGAGTACTGTTCGAACAACGGCAACCCATCTGGCGATATTAAACAACCCATCGGACACACTGTTCATAACCCAATGGACTCAGACACCGCTTCCTCCCGATCCGTCCCATATTAAAGTTGTATCCCATTTAGATAAAGAAAATAGCGGAAAGAGATTGGTGAATGAGCACTAAGCCTAGAACAACTTATGATGGGAAACTACTCTTTTATATGTACGTTAGCTTTGGTTTTTGCGGTGCCACCCATTCGGGTGACTTATTTCCATCTAACGAGTCCCCTACTTTTCTGGACATTGAGGGCTAACGCTCATTGCACCCCATAGAGATTTCGTAGGCAGCTGTTGATTCGAAATTGGGCCGAAGACTTCCCACTGCTGCCCCATCATCATTATCATGACACGTTTCTGAGCCCTTCTCTTCTTACCCCTTTTGGATGAGTTTACGGAATGACCAGTAGTACTGTCTCTTAGGTCTAGTCAAATCAAACTAGCTTTATACATTTTTTCTGTGCTAATTTTGCCTATACTTTCATTTTTATTTACTATGCAGGGTTTCGTTTACGGTCTAGGCAGGGGCTTACTTGGCACCGTGACCAAACCGCTTGGCGGCATCCTGGATTTAGTCTCCGGTGCGATGACCAGCTTGAGTGAAGTCACTCGGTTTTCAACACATGCCCATCCTCGTCGTCGGCGCCCTCGGCGTTCTGGTCTTTCGAGCCATGCACTGCAGCCGTTATCAGCTTACCAACTGGATGAGGCAGTCGCTCAACTCCAGCTGCATCGTCTAACGCTGTTCACCACCGCACGTCAGACATCTCGCGTTACCGTTCTAACGCCCTTGTTGCCTCCTGAATGGTTGGAAATTGGAGAGGAGGTTCATGTAGACAGCGAAGAGGAAGAAAATGAGCCAACATCGGTCGGACCGGGAACATCCGTACCACTGCCTCCTCTAAGCCGCATCGTTCAAACCACCGTGGATGGAGCTTGGTTGACGCACACATTCAATTCCCCCGAATGCGTGTTCCACGTGTTACCCGTCCAACGAAACGGTGTGATCGTGATTCTCACTGATCGCACACTTTGGTGTCTGAGCAGCCCCACTCTCAGTGGGTGGGTTATGGCAAAGGAACATGAGCTACTGGTAAGTGGTTGATAAATCGTCCTGAATCGTCTCGTACTTATCACAAACAGCGTATTACCCAAATTTCTACTTAAATATCCAGAATATTTTTACTATTTTATGTAAGCATGTCTTAGTCTTACACATTTAACGAACGATCAAACTTGAACTTATGTGCAGCTGAAGTTTGATTTGCGTGGCTTTCGTGTGCCTTTCCCGGCCTTCACCTCCCTATCCAAATGCATGGCCATATTTAACGCCAGTTTGTTTCCGTAACATGTGTTCCATTCGCAGAATCCTCTCTCGTCCCATCATGGTTGCATGTTAGCAGTCATGAGCCTCTCGCGGGGCTCGGTGGACACACTCCCGAACTGAACCTCCTGTTGGTCGAGCTGTTGTGTCAAAGGCAAAGGCGTTATCCCTCGAATAATAATCTTTATGCACAATGAACTATCGGAAGTAATATTATCGACGATACTCAGTCGCCAGGGTTCTTTCCTTTCCTTTATACCTTCCTTTCTTTACGCCTCCTCTTCCTACTTGACATTGTATCCGAATTCTGAATGATCGTTTCACATCGGTTATTACAACATTTGCACCGTTGTGTCGCCGCCGAATGTTCGCGCTGCACGACTGCAGAGAGAAAACGAAGACGAGCCAGGACCGAGTGCTATGTTGCTTCCTTATATAGGGCACAACAGTGGATAAAGCAAAGCTACTAAAACATCTTGGAGCCAACCAACATTATAGGAGACATTGAATAATACGAGCGGACCAGAGGAGGTAAAAGAAAGAACCCATCCGACAAGTTCGAGGAGACGATGTTAGCGGAAATGAGCTCCTGAGATGACATTCTTGACAAACGACGTAGGCCGACCAATCAAAACAAATAAATGATGAGTTTAAACAAATGTCAAGAAAAAACGGTAGCGAAACCAAAGCAGGCAACTAAGGGTTGTCACAAACAATATATATGGGCAGTACGCATCCTCCTAACATGCACTCTACAGGCTCTCATTACATGTGTTTGTGTACCTGGATTGAGTCAAGAGGAATGAACCTGTATCGGCCTACTAAGAACGACCGGGAATGCCGGGTGCTATGCACTAAGTATTACTAAAAACGCAGCCTCTGGACCTCGCCCTGGCAAGCATAAAACAAATCAATAGGGTTCTGTTGTTCTGTGTGCATGTTTCATGTATATATATATATATATATATATATATATATATATATATATATATATATATATATATATATATATATAATCAGTCCAATTGCCTCATGCTGAGGCTGATGTTTCATTCATGATGCTTCTTCACCGCAGTTGGACTAAACCAACCTACACGTAAACTAGGTCTTTTTAAGCTGGATACATTTCATTCCACTTTATTTGGTTTATTTTGCCTACTTGAATAATCTTTTATTAACTGGTCACGTTACTTACGCTAATTGTGGTTATCTTCGTTAACTTTATTGCGTTTGTAGCATTTTTGAGTAACTTCTGGACATTTTGTACTTATCGCGCATTCGTTATTAACCAACTTACTTCATATGCTAATTTAGGGAAAAGTTGTCTGCATAGCCGTCTGCTTTTACAGATATATTTTATTTGGTTATGTCATTTCATGTGATTGGCTGTTGTTTGACATCCCCTGTGTGGCTGCGCTTGATGTGCATATTACCCACTACCTCGTCCATACTGGCTCCAGGAGACAGTTAGTTGTTGCTGGAGGGGACGGAGTGCACAGTCCTTGTGGTCGTACTAGGCTCGAAAAGTGGTTCCATGCACTCAGTGTGGAGCGGACTACGGTCCAACCACCGCCTTGTGTGCGATTGATTCTCAAATACAGCGTGTTTGTGTTCGCCTATGAAGGATTGCGGGCCGGCTCCGTTGATGAAACTTGGTGCCCATCCACATGCCTCCCGGTCTTGTTCCTTCGGGTTTATACTGGATATGGGGTGTGTGGATGGAGCTGTGGGTGGTGCAGCGCAAGCCATCCATGGTCCCTCTGTAGGCGCAGGCGTCCTTTGGCTGGCCACAGTGACAGGCAAATCCTAAACCGGAAGCTGCCAACCAATCAGTCCAACAGGTGGACATGGAGCCATCAAAAAACATGGGAATCAAATGAAAATACAATTTGATCAACAATAGAACGAAACATTTTTCTTCGTTTTTCACTTGTCGCTTTTTTCTATTTTGTTATTTCCAATGTTCGAGCCAGTACAATTCCGTACTCAATTCTTCCACTAATTCCTGTTGCGCGTTATGTTTTCAAGCGTGTTAATGCACTGGCACTTCTCATCCTTGGCTCACCATCCAGAAAGACGTGCGGGTTCAACAGCGGCTAGCCTTTACTTCGGCGATTTCATGTGCTGTCGCCTGATTGAATGCTGACCACCACGCGGTCGCCTCAAGCCCGGTCCTGAACGAGCGAATATAGCGCGACATGGTAAACATTCAGGCGCCATGATTAGGACGTGACCGAGCAATCTCAATTGACGCAACAAAACCGGCTTATTGAAGGGTATACTCGCATTCCCCAAGACGCGACGTCAAACGTCGTCACTGTGAACTCGGTGTTGCCGTCACACACGAGCGATGCTTCTCAAACAGCCCTTGTCGAAGGCAGAAATGAAGCGCATGGTCTCTAAACTAATTGGCTATGACTCGATCCCATACAACACTGGTCGAATAGAGGCGCTTTAAACGCGGCCGTTTGTAGAGATGGAGACGTAACATCGACGTCACAAAGGCGTCAGGTTGATAAATGCTGATAGGACTTTAGCGATACGAAGAGCAACTTTCTTACTGATAATGCTGCCAGCATAAACACAGCTCCCAAGGTAGACGAAACTGTTTACCTGTTCAAATTGTACACCTTCAAGGCTGAGCACGAGGGCAGCTGTGAGGCAATCCTAAAACAACACTACACTTCGATGTAGCGAGGCTCATGCCATAATTAGATGCTTCAATCGCCAAACGATCCAAAATGAGTTGCATACCCTGTGGATCGTCATCAAGTAAGACGATCTCATCAGCATAATCTAAGTCGGTCGCACCTTTACCCGCTAGAACCTGTAGGTCAAAATTTTGAAATCCTTCTAGAGCTCTCGAGAGGATGTCTTTGATTTCGAAGTTGAAGAGAGATGGGGACATAGGACAATCCTGTAGCTCACTACTATTGACAACGAAAGGCAAGGAAAGCATACCTTAGTCCCTTACGCTACCGGAGATATAAAGGTAGGGTGTACTTAGGGTGGCGGTAAATCTCTCTGGCACTCAGTTCTTCGGCAAATAACGCTATACATCAAGTCTATCAGCCGACTCAAATGAATCCCGTATGTCTAGGAATCTGACGATAGTGGGGTTGTGGTAACTGTGCCGGTGTTCAAGTGGTTGGCAGAGTGTGATTTCATCCACGGCCGGGACGGAAACCAGATCGTTGTCCACAGTAGTATGTTTCACGTAGTGGAGATAGATAGTCTACCAAGCAGTGTGGATTTCAATAGCTATGAGGCAACCGGAATGATACTAATCCTTCGATCATTGACACATAAAGTGCGTGCTCCTTTATTGAAAATTGTGACAATAATTGATGCACCCCAAGAGGAAGGCACTTTTTCTTCTTGTCAATGCGCACAACCTTTGCGAAGCCGCCATACTTGGATAGTCCCGGATGAAGTTCGTCTGAGCCGGCATCCTTGAATTGCTTCAAGCGTCGTATCTTGAGGCAGATCCACTTTGATGGGTGGATCAGTGGGACGAGCTAGGATGGGCAACAAAGTGTACCGCGTGCACTGATGGACGTGGAGGCCAGTTGAATTACGAATGAAACTGCTCGGCCAAGCGGTTCAAACATCTCTGCTGGTTGATGAACGGAGATCAATCAGCTTCGCAGTTAACCTCACTGACGTTAGACTACCTGAAGCCAGTGGACCGAATGATTTGGTAAAGCTTGCATGTGTTGCCAGAGAGAGCATCGGTCTCCATCTCCAAAGCACGCTCAGACCACAGAGCCTTGCAATCTTTGCGCAGGTTTTGCTTGAGCAACCGGTTAACAAAACGGCGCCACTCGTTGTAATCTGATTTTTCCGGAATATCTCTGCGGCGGTCGAACAGCTCCATAAAACGAGCAGAGATTCAAGCCTCTAAGGGACGTCTAGCTAAACCACAGCTTGATTGTCCGAAAGTGATCATCGCTTTCTGTCTACAAGTCCAGTGTCTTGCTTTGGATTGCAATTGTGCGTATGTTAATGAGAACTGATAGCTCGCCCGTATCGAGGAACCAGCTCGTCTGTTCGCATCAGTCTTGCCATACTTTGTCTTTGGAGACCTCCCAAAACGCAGATTTTCGCGCAGACCAGTGCATGATCCGAGTCAACGAAAGTGGACCAAAAAGACCTGCAGTCCCGTACGCTGCCACGCCATCCGAAGTTGACTATAGTGTGATCATTTTGAGCCCACGCTTGGGTTGGTGAAAAGGGATGCTACGTTGCAAACCATTTCTTTGGATGCCTGAAGTTGGTGCTAAAAGAAACTGATGGTTGTTTTCGCACAATGTGAGAAATCTCTCCGTTGTCCGATAGGTGCAACTCGGGAGCGTGATTGTAGGGTTCCATCGGATTCTGTTCGAGGTCATCCACACACAATCCTGGGTGGTTCGGAACTAGGACTATTTTTTCTTGTTTTTCCGACCATGGCGAACTATGCACCGACATCACTCCATCGCAACTAAGTGATAGTTAGTTTTAATTTTTATGACTAGGGTGGTGCTTTGCTTGTACCGGGAATATCAGGCCAACAGGCAAAGGTTATGTTTGTCCCACTGTAAGAGACGATTCATGTCGCTCGTACTTGGATGAGATTATAGCCATCCTATTGTCGTCTCCTGGGGCCAATTTTGGAATCTAGATGGCCATCAATTTCTCCATCTCCCGGTTACCAGAATGTTCAAAACCCAGTTTAACTAATCTGTTCAGTATGAGTAACTCTGAAGATATGAACCAATGGATCAGAG